GTAGGTAGGTAGTTAACAAGATGGTAGCTCAGAACCTTACGGTCAGGTAACATATTCTGAAATGTTTAACGGCTTGACAGATGTACAAAAGGTGAAGCTAAATGTTGGGTTAGATGGCACTTAGTTGTATAGAAACTAGGTGTTACTCATCTGGGTGTAGTATAAGGATCAGAATGTTTAAATTAGTAGGTTACAGGCATGGCAGCTAGTGTAAAACCTTTGGGCGGACTACTTAAATAGGTAACCAAAAGTTACACATGTAGCTAGTTGCACACTTACCTTGTACAAGTCACATGTAATTCATTGACCAAAAACACAAATAAAGGTGGTAGCAACTGATAACATCAACTTTAATATATAAAAAAAAAAAAAAAAAAAAAAAAAAAAAAAAAAAAATTTAGAAATTTACTAATAAGTTCTCAAAATTAGCCAAATTTTTATAAAAAATAAATGCTAAATTAGGATAATATTAAATATATATATTAAAATATTTTTATATCAAAATCAGAAACCTTTTATTAACTATTAACATTATAATAATATTTCAGTAAGCCTTTGCTTAACCTGTAATAGATGCAGAATTTAGAATGTTTAAATAAAGAACTTACAGATAGGTTCTAAATATAGCAACTAGTGTAAAATCTTTAGTTGAACTACTTAAATTAGACAATAACTAAAGTTGTATGAGTGTCTAATTATATACTTTTTTTATGATTTTTTTGTAATTATTATACAACAGTTGCTAGTTAAAATATATTATTAATAAAATTCTAAGTTACAAATACTTATTTTAATATTAAAAAAAATATATATTTTTTATATTTATATTATTTAAAAATATATTAATTATAGGATGACAATTCTAGTATATTAGTTGGATTGTTATTCTTCAAATAGTAGATTTAGTATTCAAATCTCATTAGTAACAAAATTTTGAAAAATAGTTTTATTCTAACAAACTTATCTGTAATTTAGGATTTGTAGATTTTGTAATTCTGATTATACCAAAATTAACTTTGGAAATATATAATATTAAATAAATAAATCTAAAAAGTATATATTTAGATTAAAAGCCTACTTGAAAATCTCAAATAAAGAGATAGTATAACTTTTGATAATATTATTTATAAAGATTTTGATCTAAAGAAAAAAACCTAGAGCAGATAACCTATATGGGCAAAAATCTTTAAGTAGGAGGTTTACCAATTTGGCTACTAGTTAATTTGAATATAAAGTTATATTATATAGGACTAACTAAATTGATAGTATAAAAGAACTTGTAAGAATAGACAAGATATTGATGAGATTATAAAAGAAAAATACTAAAATTGTATAAACTTTATAAAAGTTGTAAACTAGGTTAGCTATAAATTAAGATATAAAAAGATTTAGTAATAATGTTTTAAGAATAAACTATATAAAATAAAGCGAATATTTTAAAAATATGAATAAGCATCTAAACCTTCTTGACTAATATTAGTATCAAAGATAATTTAGTGATACAGTTAGGATTGCAATATAGAAAGTTTAAATAGGCAATATCTGTAATTAAGTTGTAAGTATAACAGCTAATATAGAACCTATATATAGGCAGACTATTTAAATTAGACATCAAAATTGTATATATAGCTAGATGCACTCTCTAATATAAGATAGCTCCTTTGAGATAATTAGGTTATAAGCTTTTATATTTTATATATTAAATAAAAAAAACTTTAATTTTAGAAAAATTAGTTTAAAAATATATATATATATATTAATTATTGTTTATAAACTTACTATATAGAAGTATAATGATCTAATAAAGTAGTCAGATTGTTAACCTTCTAAATGGTAAGTTGAAAGTTCAAATCTCATCGATAGTGAAAATTTGGATAATTACCTATATAATATTTATATTATAATAACTATTACTAATGATTGGATTAAGATAACTGTAATAATGATTGCACCAGTATGACTGGCAGGTTATAGAGCATCTGTGCAATATTGAAGTTATATAGAAAAATGCAAACTGACAACTAGGTAGTGCAAACACTAGATAAGTTCTTGTAACTATATAAATTTATTGAAATTGAATAACAAGAAGTTTATTTGAGAAGACCAAATAGAAAGGTAGCTAAATTTTTGATGACACTACTATAAAGACTAGTCTTGAAAAATAGATATCTAGATTTTAGTAACCAGATAGGCAAGAATCTTCAGGTTAAAAGTCTCAAAGTTATTACCAATCAGGTTGCAGAAACAAACCAGAGAAAAAAGATATTAGACTAACCTAATATACTAATAGACTGATCATAGTTCTATATAGGCTATCTTAATTAAAAGTTTAGCAAAATTTAGGAGTATACTAAAGTATCTGAGTTATGCTGTGAAGTAGATACTAAAGTCTGAGTGAACTCTACGAGAGCATAGCAGTTTAATAGTAAAGCTTTAATCACAAATGTTGATTCTGCTATAGCAATACCTAGGTTAGCTATAAAAATAAGTACAGAAGGCTCTGAAGATTTATCTTGAAGATAAATTAGTCTTAAAATTAAGATAATGATCTAAGCATCTGAGTATGACCCAGTGAGTTAATACAGCTTACAAGTTTAGAAAATTTAAAGTAAAACACCCAAACAGAAGTGTTAGATATAACAATTAATAGGAAACCTTCAGGTGAACTTTTTAAATAGATAATATAAAAAAGTTATACATGTAACCAATTGTACACTTTTCTGTAGTGGTTTATTGAATCACAATACTAATAAGTGATTAATAAAAGTCAAAAAATCAAAGAAGTTATCTTAAAAACTTGCTATATAAGTATATTTTATATAAAAAAATCATTATATTTTTTATATTTACAATTATTTATTTATAAAATATTCTAATAATTTTTTTTAAATTTTTAAAAAATATATTATATATGTAAAATAATATAAAGAACATTTTTACTTAATAGACAAAATATAATTTGCATAATAAAAAAAATTATAAATTAAAAACTATATAATTTAAATATTTTTTATAAATTTGTAAATTGATAAAAAAAAATTTAATTAAAATACAATAAATTTATTTTTAATAATCCTAAAAATATAGTTTAAAATAACAGTTATTAGATTTAATATTATTAATATGCTTTTTAATTTATTTTATAAAATATGATGTATCAAAAAAATGACAATACTGCCTATATTAGATATATCTATGTAATTGCAAAAATAATTTCAAAAATCTTAATAAAGTACTAGCATAATTATTTAAAGAAAAAATCATTTTTAAAAAACTTCTAAATTTGCTTACTAAATAATTTAAAAAATATACAATAACAAATAGTAAAAATTATTAAAATATATATTTAATGCTTTAATCATTTACTTAACATGATTATCTATAATATAAATTACATAATTATCAATTAGGTTTTTAGATTTTGAATAAAATTTTAAACATTGTTCCAATCATGTCTTTTCGTTATCAGTTTCGGAAATTTTATCTGAATAGAATTCTCCAAAATTATGTCTTCAAAATCGTCTTTAAAATCATCCCAACTCATAAAAGATTTAAATTTTTTTATAGTAACGAAAATTTCCGGATCTACCAATCAAGAAGTATATTAATATATAACTTAACATATTTAAAACACAGTATTCTCTTATTTACGAATTTTTAATTTATTAACTTTATTAAGTACACGTCACTCTCGATATAACAGAGACTAAGTAAAATCTTGATATAATGGATTATTATTCCGATTCACATCATAATCAATACTACTTGATATAATGGATTTACTAATAAAACTCACGATAAAGTGGATTTTAAAAAATTCCTCACTATGTGCTCGAGGTACTACGTTATATCGAGAGTGACGTGTATATTATATAAATTTATCAGTTAAGAAAAAATGAATCTACACTTACCAACTGCGAATTGTTAACCAACAGTGAATTGTTATCTGAAAATATTTTCACCAAACCTTCCTCCGCAGAACTTTGAATCACCAGCATCTTTATCAGAAATAATTAGTATTCACATTTTATCGAAATAAAAAATATAAAACTTGTCACTTACATTGTTTACCCGTACCCTGAGTCCATCCACCAAAAATTTGGTAATCATCCAAAATACGATGACTATCATAAATTGCGTACCATAAAGGTATACTAGAATCTAAAACCCAATTTATATCACCAGTAATCATTTCCCATTGAGATTGACTCTGAAATTTTCAAATTATTATACATATTGATTCTTGAGAGTTAAACACGTCACTCTCGATATAACGGACTCTTGGTATAACGGAGACTAAGTAAAATCTTAATATAATGGATTAAGATTCAGATCCACATCATAATAAATACTTGATATAATGGATTTACTAATAAACTCACGATAAACCGGATTTTAAAAAATTCCTCACTATGTGCCCGAGGTACTATGTATTATCGAGAGTGACGTGTCAATAAATAAAAATTACATACAGTGTATATACCGAATTTCGAACCGGTAGATTTCCAAGCAGTAAGGAATTCTTTTAATATTTTTCTGTTTTCAATCGGACCCAAATCCCAATTATGAGAATCTGGATTTATATCAATACTTAACCATATTGTTTGAATTATTAACTTATGAGTAGAAATAAATTGTACTAATTCATTAACTTGTTGTGAAGGAGTTTTACAAGTTGACCTTCCAGTACATGGGGACATATAAACATCAATGTAAGTGTACCCGCCTTTTTTAGCATGTTTGTAATTTTTTAATAAATTAGAATCGATAGAACCTCCATGTTTACGGTCATAATCTTCAAAATAACCTCTAATAATGACTCGTTCAAAGCCTAAAAATTTAGTACAATTAAATGCTTCTACGGTCACAAAGGTAGTATAAGGATAAATATCAACTGCAAAGGAAGAAAATGCCTTGTTTATTGTTGAAAAAACCATGATAAGGATGATTAATGCACTAAGTAAGAGTTTCATTCTATTATTCGTTACTCAATGCTTTTTTTTTAAAAAAAAACAGTTACAATTATCTTTTAAAACGTATACGGAGTATATATATTAAAAATGCAATTTGAGTTTAGTGGAACATGTATTGAACTGTTTTAAATATAGCCCAGCATTGTTCTTTTTACATCAACTTTATGTAACGCTGTACATACTATAATAGTATTGGCATTTTGACTATGTTGAATAGATTTGGACACAGTCCAAATGTTACGTACGTATCGATATATTTGAATTAAAAATTACTACGTTCATATATTACGTATTCGTTTTATCTTTAATTATGAAGGGTAACTTATGTAAGATAAGTTTTTAACCGACATAGCTTACGTAACTTACATATATTATACTAACTTAATGCTAGACTATCTTAAAGCTGGCTTGTCTTATCATATATTCGTATTGTACCGATACATGAGTTCATGTAATTTAAGTTATCCCAACCTACTCACAGTAATAACCACTTGGACGATGTATAGATGCAGAATTATTACGTCACTTGTTACGGCTCAATTGTGATTTATTTTATAAGTGATGTTATAAGAGTTAACCGATCAGTAATTCTGTAATGAATATGAAATTGCCTTTTCATCATCCGATATCATTTGATATATGTAGTAGATCATTTTGTTAATGATAATGTACTTACGTATGTATGTGACACAGTTAAATGAAATTTATTGGGCCAATTTCGATACGTATTTCATATTTATTAATAATCAATTAAAAAGTTCAAATTATAGGAAAATTATGAACCATATCTCTGATCGGATTTTCAGGGGCTGAGTCCATAAATTATAAACTTAAAAAGCCTCGAACTTGGCTGGCTTTCTCTTAATGTTTAACACTTACTCATTTCTCATTAAGATATTATTATTTAACCCCTTCGATTTATTATCATATAAAACCCCTGCACCATTGTTTCCATCACATGTATAAACCATTCCTATATGTAACTTCTAGTCATACGTTACATATACATGTGTATCGGTATACGTAAATTTATGCGGATTTAGTATTAATTTCTAACTTCATCTTGTTCCTAGTTTATACGTACGTATCGATAAAATCGGTGTTAGAGAAGAGTTAACAAGTCATCTTAACGGTTACGTATCTTATTAACTAAACAGGTAACAAAATTATATGAATTTTCGTCAATATTTAAAAAATTTATTTTAAAAAAATATCTTTTTGTTTTTTTTTTTTAAAAAAAAAAGGATGGCTAAAAAACGTTCCAAGAAAAAAATTAAAGTGTAAGTAAATAAATTATATGAAATATATAAAGTATGATAATGAAATCATAGAGCTATTATTCTAACTTTTTTTTATATATATTATATAAAGTTCTCCAATAAACCTACCTTCACGCAATACTCATTTTAAAAGTATTGTTGAAAGATTATGTAATTACTATAACGAAGAAAGGATGAAAGGAAAGGATAGTACTATGATTCTTAATGGAATAAATCAATTTTTTGTATCAGAACAACAAAGACCAGAAGAAATCATTAATTGGTGCTTGGATAATCAAAATAATAATCATATAATTCAATGTATTCTTTCGGATTGTTATTATCACGGAAGATGGATTGCAAAAGATGAAACCAAAGCATTTGAATTAGATCAAAAATCAGCCAAACATGGATATGTAGTGGCATATAATGGACTTGGATTTTGTTATAGTAAAGGTATAGGAACAGAGATTGATCATAAAAAAGCATTTGAGAATTATCGAAAAGCAGCAGAAGAAGGATTCGCATTGGGACAAAATAATCTTGGATTTTGTTATCAATATGGAATGGGAACCGTAAAAGATAAATTAAAAGCATTTGAATTATTTCAAAAATCAGCCGATCAAGGTTGTGTTATTTCATATAATAATCTTGGATATTGTTATACGTGTGGAATTGGAACAGAAATTAATCATAAGAAAGCTTTTGAATATTATCAAAAAGCAGCAGATGAAGAATCCGCTTTAGGACAATATAATCTTGGATTTTGTTATCAACATGGAGAAGGAACAGAGAAAGATGATAAAAAAGCCTTTGAATTATACAAATTAGCGGCCGAAGGAGGATGTATTGATGCATATAATAACCTTGGATATTGTTATACATATGGTATAGAAACAGAAGTTAATTATAAGAAGGCATTTGAAAATTATTTAAAGGCAGCAGAAGGAGGATTAGCTATAGGACAATATAATCTTGCATCCTGCTATGAATTTGGGGAAGGGACTAAACCAGATGAAAAAAAGGCTTTTGAACTATATAAATTGTCGGGTGATAGTGGATATGTTCCGGTATATAAAAAACTTGGTGAATGTTATAAGAGTGGGATAGGAACATCTGTTGATGAGGAAAAAGCATTTGAATATTATAAAAAGGCGGTAAAAGAAGAGTTAACAAAAACAATGTAAATTATTATATATAAACAAATTATACATGTTCATACAAGTTCTACGTAGTCAATATGTAGGGTACGTAGGAGATTTGTTTATATTTTATTTGTTGTACGTAAATGTATATAGTTATATAAGGATAAGTAAATAAAAACTTAATTCGCTGTATCATAACAATTATGCTATTATCGTTATAAAGTAATTTTTTAAAAAATTATGTATAAGTTTGGTTGGTTATGACGTATTTGTATAATACTGTATTATAGTAAAAACTGGTAAAAACCCTTAAATCCCAAGTACGTAACAGGTTTGAGTAAATATCGGCGATTTTCTTGATCTATCTTATTATCGATCTTACAATAATTCACAACCAGTTATCGCAGCCTAATTTTAGATAAACAACGTAGCTTTACGCGTTCAGGGCACGGGAAAAAACTTTGGGCATGCCCTCATGGCAAAAATATTTATCGATTTACCAAGATTGGCCAATCAGAATGCACAATTTGGTGTAATACAATATAACGTGATCAGGAATGTAATTGTCTACGTTTCCGAAACTTATCGACAGTTCAGGTTGGCCAGCATGGTGCACGTCCGTAATCTGTGACAGGTTAAGCCACTGACTTCAATCATGATAAAAAAGCTATTGTATTTAGTAATTTGAAAAGCTATTATTACGAAGATAAGGTTGAATATATAAAAAATGATTTGATTGTATTTGGTTATTTATTTTTTGCGATTTTAGAAATTTTTTGTTTTTTTTTTTTATCTAACGTAAGTGTGCAAATTAAAGGTTTAAATAACCCTATCGACTTCTAAGGTTTTAAAAATAATCAACTTTTTGATAAAGTTTATAAAATAATTTTTTTTAGTATGAAAGGTCCTTCAAATGCCTCGCAGGTCATATAAATTTGGATATAATTTTTGTAAAAAAAACTTATAAAATGGGATTAAGAAAATGGAAGAGAATGATATTTCTAGCATCACTTCATCTTTAGTTATTAATTCAAACCGTCAAAATATTAGGTAAACATTACGAACCGTGTTAGATAAATTCAAAGACCAGTATTATGTAACAAAATACAATTTTTCGAATATTTTCTTTATGACATTAGTCACGACTGTTCAATCAAAAGTGCTTCGAAACACGAGTTCACGAATAAATGATATGATGAAAAGGATAATTCAATAATTTGAGTTATCTTCATTCGAAAAAAAAACATTTAAGAATGTGTTGAACAATTAGCACGGTTAAGAAACGATATATTGTTTGCTTTACTTAATTATAATATTTATGTAGTATTCTAATTTTAAAATTAAAAGTTTTTATTTTTTTTATATAAATATCTGTTTAGTTAATATCAAAAATGCAACTTTTGAATTTGTAAGTTTTTTAAATTTAATACGTAGTTTATATGTAGTTACGTATAACGGTGATTGAAATTAGTGGCTTAACCTGTCACAGATTACGGATGTGCCAAACCGAGATTCAGTGATGATCTACGGTGGCTTAGCCGATTTATAAAAAAAAGTACTTTTTATTTTCGTGAGTTTCCGCAACCTATTAAATTAATTCGCTAAAAAAAAAAAAAGATATTGAAAGTTCTTCATATTACTCATCTTTTATTAAAATTAATCAAAAATAATCACAATAATTAGAAAGTTTTATTAGAGACGAAGTTTATAAGAGATTTAAGATGACAATGAAACTAAGATCTAGAAAATACAAACAAGCTCAGTGTTTATACGAAAAGCAGAATAAAATGATAAGTTAACCGGTTTTTATATATTCAAAACTAAGTTATATATCATTAATTTGTAAATTAAATTTATTAACTACAATTTTGAAATATAAAATAGAACGATTTAGAAATGATTTAGAAATAATTTAAAATCGATTTAGAAATAATTTAGAGAATATATTTATCAAATCTATGTATAAAAAAACGAATTTTTATTAAGAGAAATATAGGCAAATAGAACATTTAATATCTTATATATAATGGGTAATGTTTGATGATTTTTTACTATTAGATTCGTCTCATCGCTACGAATCTAATGGTATAAAAATCATCAAATTCTAGCCACTAGGTCGTGAGATCTCTTGATTTTTAGTAAAATAAAACTATTAAACAATAAAATTTAATTTGCTGATCATCATGTGTAGATTGACCCTGAGCCACAGGTTTCGAATATTATGTGACAAATATATCGAGCGTTAAAAATTAACAAAAAAAAAAAAATACAAACAAAAAATTTAAGCAGCAAAATAATAACGATAAGTAATGAATTAATCATTTTATTTATTTCGAATGACTTAATAAACGTAATATTTATTACAGCCAGAAAGTACAGTCGTTCCTCATTAATGTCAACCTCATTAATATCAACCAAAGTTATAAAATGGGCTAGATACTGGAAAAAGGGGCGAAAATTGACAATTTTCAAAGGAAATTTTCTCACATAAATCAATTAAAATAAGTTTAGAATTATTTTTTACTTAACATACAAAAGTTCCAATTTATGCAATGGCAAAAAGTTTTATTAATACTATCAAGCCATTTGGTCTCATTATATTTTCTTCAATAACTTTTTGTTGCTGCGTTCTGGATTTAATAAATAAATAATCAGAGTTATAATCTTCCGAAAGAGCATTAAAATCAAATCTATAAGGTTTTCTGGCGCAATTCAATTTTCATTCTTTTTTCGTTTATTGTTAGTGGAAATTTGGCTACGACAATTAACATATATTTTTAGAATAAATGTGTTTGTTGAATTAACGATCGCTTTTCACTTTAAAGAATCGAAGAAAAAAAAACAATCACTTACTAAATCAATTATGTTAATATTTTTTAAATAATATAGTTACTATTTAGATAGTGATCTGCATCAATAACGTAACCACTTTTGCGAGTTTCTATCGCGGGTTTCACCCTGTCGTATTATTATTATCATGATTATGATGAATTGATAATATCACATGATTTTCGAAACTTTTTTGGGTAGAGGTCTCCAAATTTGTGTTGTCCGGCCCAAATTATATACTTAATTTTGCCCGAAGTGATATTGTTACACCACATTAAAAATATCGATTTCTCTACATATGATTTGGCGATCGGAGTAAAATCGTCACCCAAAAAGTTTCAAAAATAATGATATTGTCAATTCATGATAATAATATTTATTATAATATTAACATAATTGATTTAATAAGTGATTTTTTTTCTTCGATTCTTTAAAGTGAAAAGTGAATGTTAAAAGTATAAAATCCAATAAATAAACACATTATTTTAAAAATATATGTTAATTGTTGTAACCAAATTTCTATTAATAATAAAAGAGTTGAAAGTTATGAGTATAAAATATAACATTTATGGTTCTTTTGAACCATATCTTATTGGTAATATGAAAGATAATTGATTAATTTCTTATCCTGAGTGACAAGAAATTGTTATTTTTTTAAAAAAAGTATTACATCAGAGGTGTAAGATATGCTGATTTTTAACTATATGATGATTGGTAACAAATTTAACTAATGCAATTAAGTATAATATAACATAATTAGGAAAATTCAAAACAAATATAAACAAACTAATTTTAATGTATTTTTCAAGTTTGTTTATTAGATACAATATTAATTAGTTTTTTATATTTATTTTCATCAACAAATTATTAAAAAAATTTAAAAGGTTTATTGTTTTAAAAAAATTAGATGTTATTATACCTTCAATAGAATGAGTTCTCAAACATTTTTAAAAATATGGATGTATCAAAAAGTTTATATATTATATTTTTAAATTATTAATATTTATCAATTTTTAAAAATATATTAATAGATTATTATATTTATTAAAAGAAAAAGAGATAATAAATGTACTTTATAAGATATTACATCAATCTTAAATTTTTAAAAATAATCAAAATTTTGAAAAATAAACTTAGTTTAAAAGAAGAAATATTAAATGTATATTGTAAAATTATTAGATTTTATACAAAATATTTGAATAAAAAAATAAGTATATTATTAATAATTGATTTAATGAAATTTACAAATATTAGATATAAAATTTATATATAACTAAGATAAAAAAGGTTAACTGGTTGATGTAATAGAAAGAATAGAAATTAGTTATATATTATTTTTCAACAAAAAGATTTACTAATTCTAGATAAAAAAATTGATTATAATCTTTTTTATATAATAAAAACTTCTTGTCAATATATTTTTATATTTATCATTTTTTTTATTTTATTTATTTTTATTTTTATTTTTTTTAACATTAAAGTTCTTATCTTTAGAATATGATATTTTTATTCAAGTATATAGAACATAGGTTGCCTTTAGAGGCTTTCTTATATTGGAGGTTATAACTAATTACATATGTATTTTTGGTGTCTAATTTAAATAGTTTACTTATATATTGTTATATAAGTTCTACACTAAATGCCATATCTATAAGCCAACTAGAGGTCTTGCCTATTTAAACCCTCTGCATATGCAATTCTTCTTGTATTACAAGAATATTTTTAAGACTATACCCATCCAAGTTTCTAATACTAATCAGTACCCTTAGAACTACTTTATCCTTAACAAGAAACTTACTAGAGCTTTTATATTCTATATATACTGACCTAGTTTTATATAACATGCTATAGTTATCTAACACTTGCAGTTACAGAGGTTACCTGTTTAACTACTACATTATATTATTTTTATTCTTATAAAGTTCATTAGAATCCTAATACTTATTCTTTCTGACATTTTCTTTATTATCCCTTATTAGTCACAACTTGAAACTGGCAATCTCTAGCTAAACTACCAATTCAGATAGCCCAATATAGTATACTTTTGTATCCTTTTTCTCTGACAAGTCTGATAGCCTGATTAATTATATGCTCCTTTACATATATTTGATGTTCAGTTTAATATTCAATTTCTATGAAGATGTTTCATGAATTTCAACTGGTCTGATGGTACCATCAAAGTTCATGCTATCTCTTTACTTGGGAATTTTCAAGTGAGTTTCCATCACCTCAGTTTCTTAGTCTTCTATGCCTGATGGTCTTATCATAAGTTTGTACTGAAATCTTATGCAATACCAGTTATATATTCCTCTATATATATGTAATATTATACTTTGCATAGATTTATTTTATTTGCTTATTTTTTGTTTGATTATACTTATTATGAAACATAATGCATTTTTTATTTTAACTTTACTTTTATATAGACAACATTGAAAATACAAATTTTTTATAAAAAGAATTGTAAGTGAAATTTCATATGATGATAAAAAATAAAAACCTAAATCCAACAATGATAAAACTCTAATTAACTTTATTCATGTTAATTTAAAAATATATATAATTAATTTAAGTAATTTATTTAGTTTCATTTATTTGTAAATAAAAAAAAACATTCAATGTTAAAATCATTAAATCACATAGTTATATATTACTAAAATTTCAAATTACCTAATATTGAATTATGAATGACCTTCAATAAAATCCAACTAAATTTGTATCAACGATATGTAATAATGGATCCAGAATATGAAAACTTTTTGTTCAAATAAATAATCAGGGTCATAGTCTTTCGAAGAGCATTAAAAATAAAATCTATAAGTTTTTCCGGTGCAATTGAATTTTCTTGATTGGTTCTTATAATTTTATTTCGATTTTTATTCTCTTTTCGTTTATTATTAGTGGAAATTCGGTTATGACAGTCAATCCATGTTTTCAGAATATTGTGTTTACGCTTATAAAATGGTCACCTTGTTTGTCAAGACCGCAACGGTCGCATTTCATTTTGAAGAATCGAAGAAAAAAATCAGCTAAAATCATGATGAATTGATATTACCATGTGATCTTAAATTTTTTTTTGGATGGCAGCCTAAAAAATTGATTTACATATAATCAACATAAACACTGCCCTATTTACGCAATAATAACATATCAAATAAAGTCACAACCAAACAGTATATCATAATTTTAATAGGTATTAATATATTTTGATATCTTCATTTTATTCGATTTTTATTTTCTATCTATTGATATTATTCCTTATCAGTTATACAAGAGTGTACAAATATTGAAAAAAAAATTCAAACATTTAAACATATTAAACACATTAAACAACGTAATTATAAATAAGACAACATTATTACTACATATATAATTATTCAGCTATTCGTAAATGTTCAAAAGTTAAAAGAGAGTAACCCAAGCAATCAAGTTTTTTCGAATAAGATTTAGATGAAGCCATCTGAATTCCTACCAATTTGAAATCATTAGTAGGACCATTAACAAATCTATTTGCATTTACGTCACTTCCCAAAAGATCGGTGGAATTTGCCTCTACGTCACTTTTAAGAATATCAGAGTTTGGAGTACTGTTGAAATAAAATTGAATACCGCTAATGATGCGATCATAAAAGTAAAATTCTACCGAAGTTATATAATGATCTTCACTAAGACCTCGAATAGTTGTCACTTCTCCACCCTTTACGTCTCCTACAGTGATCGAAGGTCGATCTTTGTATTTAACCGTTAAACCATGCACCACATCAGAATGATGAATGTTTAAACCTCTAATGATACCACGCTCATCAGAACTTAATTGAAAATCTTCATCATAATCCGTCCCATAATGTTTTGGATCTGGAATAGTATTTTTTCCAAGAATTCCATATTGAAGGGTACCAATTTTTCGGTTAGGTGCTTCAGAAGGAGCTGCCCATTTACCAGGTAAGAATTTATTCAAATCGAAAGTAAATAGATACATCTCCATAAATGTGCTTTTCGCTTCATTAATAAAAGCCGTTTGAGAATCTATACATAATTTACGACGTTTATTCTCACTTATCTCATCAATTGAATTCGGACATTTAAAGGATATATAAAAATCGTGAAAACTATCTTGTACTATACAAGGAAAATCAATGTTCTTATCGTAACCGTTTTCAAAACTAATGAGACTTTTACGCCAATCTTCCCATTTGTCATACATCTCTATAAAATATTGTTTATATTCCTGTACCTTTTGTATTAGATCATTTTCATAAGTTTCATTTGATCCTTTAGAATATATATCCTAATCAATATATAAAAAAATTTTTTTAATATTTTGTTACGATAATGAAAAATTTTATAATAATCATGAAATTATTTAGAGAAATTTATACCTTATAATGCCTATTCCTTTCTCTCAAAATCGTAAGATGAATAAACGCGAATACAATTGCGATAGTAAGTAATTGTACATTATCCTTACTTTCACCTACAATCAGATTATTATAAAAGGAATCACACAAGTCAATTAAATTCGTCATATGAATTGATCGACCTTCTTTTTGAGCATCTCGATATTTGATAAGATTTTGTTTAATTTTGTCTATCAAACTTTGCCTTTGTTTAATCTCTTTATTAATATCATCAATTTTAAGTATATCTTTAGATCTTTCAGGTGTTAAGGTAAACATATCTATTCTACAATCTCTGAAAAAATTTTCAATTAAGCTTTTAATCAATTCAGTGGGTTCTGTGTCTTTTGAGATTGCTTTGATGAACATTGTCATAAAATCACCCCATAATCTTGGATCTACTTTGTGTTCCATTGTTTTTTAATGATCTTTCTTGATGAAAAAATATTATTTTAGAAAATGGTTTAAATGAAGTTTTATGTTTAAATTATGTTTAGATGCTGTTTTTGAAAATCTCGATAAAAATTTGATACTCCTATTTATACAAAATTAAAAAATTAAAAAAGGTTAAATAAAATGCATAATGTAAAGTATGTCGTAATTCGCTTTTATGTAAGTACATATTTATTTAACATTAATGATGTGTGATACATTTCACCATAATCAGAACTTATTGGTGCATTATCATCACAATCAATACATTTTAGGTTATTATAATAATTTACCTTATTTGAAATGGAAAATAACGAGAAACTTTGGCTGAAGAACCTAGAACACATAGGCCGAAGGTGAATTTTTGAATGGTTAAAAATAGTAGGTATTCCTGCGCTTAGATGTAATAAATTGATAATCTCTTATATTTTAAGCCGCTAAAGCTTAATATTTTTTTTTCAGCCATATAAATCCCTAAAGCTTACATCCAATATTCATATTGTACATACATACGTACAGTTCGGAATTTTAAAACCACGATCTCTCTTTATAGACATAACGTAGCATAAGTAAGTAACAATATGTAGTGCATTGAGATCAATATTGCCTAAATTATTATCGTTAATAGCGTATATTTATATTTCATATGCACGACGTACGACGTACGTAGGTAAATTGAAGAAACATTTGATTTTAATTTGCTGCTTGATTATACATCACGTTTATGTTGTTAAACATTTGGTCTGAACTGACTCGACTCAAGATTCGAATTTTAATTAGGATCAGGCTCAAGTAAAAAGTTATACAAGATAGGCATCATTGGTTTAATGCAATGCAATGTGAGTACGTATGAACTGTACGTACTACTTACGTGGAATTTCACTTTTCAGTTATTTGAAACTTGGTGTCGACTATACATGTCATAGAAACTATTTCAGCTTTACCAAAAGTATTTCGGCATTGATTTTTAATAAAAATTTCTGAATTATTTCTGAAACAACTTTGACATTTCATATCAAAAATCAATACCGAAATAGTTTCTGCATGTATAGTGTTGACTTTAAAAAAAAACCTCGCCTCAAACCGATTAAACCGAGCTGTTTAACAGCATTAATTAAAAAAAGAAATCATGGTCTTTGAACTGCGTTTCTGCTAAAGTGTTTATTTTTCAGATGCATATTTCTAAAGATATACCAGATCGTTTTTTTGTTTCACCTTTTTTTAAAAAAAATTGCTTTACTAATCACTATTTATTGGTCAACCATATTGTGTTAGATCTTTTTTTTTTTTATATAATATATTAGTATAACAAAGATCAACTCCTTAACGTTAATTCTCAGAGGCCTCACGAAATGGTACCCCCGAAGTTCTTGCTCTGCATAATGATATGATAATGCATAAGATAATGCATAGGATGTATAAAGTGTTGCGTATTAATTACATCATAATTGAAAGTTCATTATAGAAAATCACTACGTTTTCATGGTGCTTCTTATACTGAACTATTATGAAAATTTAAACATAGTCTTTAAAATTCGTCTTTTCACTATGTTGATCCGCATGTGTGGGAACTTAATACTTATTATTACTCGACATCACATAGGGTGACAATTTACTAATAATAGATGCATATAGTTAATAAAATGCTACGTAAATTGTCTTCCTTTGTGATGGAAAGTAAATGACCTGTCCGGAAATAGGTTTTGAGTATACCGTATTAAGGTTGTAGTTGGATATTAAAAATAAAGTTATTGCTTATACGTATAATGAAATATTTGCGATTATTTTTAATAATTTTATATATTTTTAGACTGTAGGACAAGTTTGTTTTCAATTTTACTATAAATTACTTTTAAATTATTCTTTTAAAAATTAAGATAGTGTTTAGTTTAAGCCCACATAGGCATGTATTTAATTGTGTACATGTACCTAATAAACTATGAAAGCAAGACATTACCTCAAACATACAAAAATAAAATTAATACGTATTAGAATATAAAAATAACAATTTTAATACACAATAAAGTTTAGTTTATAATAATAAAAAAAAATATTATATTAAGGGTAGGGTGTACATAGATCATTCTTCATATGACCTAGGTCAGTGTTGTCACGTCTACTATGTTCAAAACTTTTTTAAACTATGTCTAATATCTAAATATTTACATGTTCAAGAATGTTCGCAGCATATATATTAATTTAAAAAATATATAATTATATATATTTTTTTAGTGTTGAATATTTTTATTTGGAAAATTAAAATAGATTAATTTAATAAAATTTTGAGCAATTTTAATTTATTTATTTGTTCAAAAAATGTTTACAAATGTTCAAACTGTGTACTAACTTAGATAGTATAATAGATTTTTATATAATAAATTAAAGACTAAATATAATTAATACCAGTGAATATTGGTATCCTACATTTATACTAGTCAATAAAATTTCAAATTAAATTTACATGATATCTATTATTATATATCAATATATTAATATACAATATTATACAGAGTAGAGGCCTGCATTGGATCCTGTAGCCCAGCCTAGCCTGGCTTAGCCTGTAATTTTTTGTGAATCAGACCAGACTTAAAGCAAAGTTTTATAATTGCAAACTGGGTTTAAAATTTTATAAAATTATATAAGAATTTTGCAGACCAGACCAGATCAGGTCAGGCTAAGCTGAAGAAAAAATTTAATAGTATGTAGGCTAAGTCAGATTAGCAAAAAAATTTTAATTCTAAATACAAGCCAGGCTTGGTTTTAAAAATAGACAATTTGCAGATTTTTAATGCAAAGTATACAACTTATATTACACATATTACATACTATGTAAAAGCAATCTAATATTAATAAAATTTATAATCTTAATACTCTAACTCTATAATATATTAAATATTAAAATTTACAAATTATTTTTATTTAAAAATTAAAAGTAGCCTATTATTCTTTGTAAAGCAAAAGATAGCTTATATTTCTGCTATAGTTGTTATATTTATTTTAGCATTTTTATTTTACTAATACTGCATCAAAAAACAAGATTATGAGTTGTTTTGCCTTAACTCTAATCTTAAACAAGAGTTTAAACTTAATTTGAAGACTAAATTAAAAAAATTTTATAATAAATAAAATTAAAATAACATAAAAAATCACATACTTCAAATTTTGGTTAGCAAACTGTTTTTTGTATGCTTATAAAAAATTTTATTTAAAAATTTTTGTATAAGTAATGTCTCGAATTTTAACTTAATGCAAGATATTAACCAATATAATATTTTGTTTTAAATCTATTATAATAGACCAGCATACTAAATTTTGTAAAAAAAAAATACTTAATATTCAGTTGTAAATTCTTGTAAAAAATTTATTAACCTGCTAAAATTTATTTATAATTATTTTATATTTATACAAACTTAATATCAAATATTAAATTTAAAATGACTATATATATTGTATAATATACTAAATGATTTACTTTAAATTTTATTCTAAAAAAGAATATAGTAATTACTTTAATTCTAATTTGTTAAACCATTTTTATACTAAATAAAAAAAAAACTTATTAGCATTTTACTTAAACTTATCTAAAAAAATTTTTTTACATTAATGTTAAAGTGATTTATCTAATTATCTATTTTAATTCTTATTTAAACTAAAGTAATTTATCTAATTTCTATCTTAATTCTAATTTAAAAAAATATTTATTCTTAAAATAAAACAGAAAATAAAAATTTGACAACTTAATACAGTATCTAGTACAACTATAAGATTCTTACTAAGAATTTATAATTAAATTAACTTCAAGTTAAACAATAAAATTTAATTAAACACTAAATTAAACTTTAAATCTTAGTCAAATTACTTATACTTTAAAGTTAGCTTAATAATTTTTATGCTATATACTACTACTATATGAACATAAAATAAATTTTTATCTTTAATAGAAAATATTATATAAACATATACAAATAGTTATTAATTATAATAAATAATAATAAAGTTTTTGTCTTTTGCATTTAACTTTCTATACTGCTATTTTTTAAAGAACAATTTCAAGAATCATAATACTAAAACTTATATTGCATATTAGTATTTGTTTTTTTGTTAATAATATTTTATCTTGATTACTTAAACCAATATTCTTGATATTATAATTCTTAATAGCTAATAAGTATCTTTTGTTTGCAAGCTGGCCTTTATTTTTATATTGAAGTAGATTAGAAATCTTAATATGATCTAACTGTTATTCAAATAGTTCACATGTGTTTTGGCATAATGTAGAAGTTTGTTCATCAATAAATCATTATAAAAATTTTCCAAAGTCTTGTTTAAACTATTTGTGATTGTTATATATAAAGCTTTCCTACAAAGCTTAAGATTACAGTCATAAGAAGCTTTTTTAGAATCTAATTTCACAGTGACTTTATTGTTAATATTCTGTTTATAAATTCTTTCTAATAATTAAAATATTTTAGTTTGAAGTAGTTTATCTTTATTCTGTATTACTTGAATAGATAATTTTTGACTTTTATTAAATGTTACAAGACCTTCTTTGAAGTATTAGCAAGAAGATATTAACTTAATATTAAAAAATGCTTTATAATAAAAAAAATGATAACAAATAAATCCAACATATATTAAATAGAGACATATACAGTAGTGCATATTATCATCAAGCAATATAACAAATTAAAAATTATTTGTTATATTTTGAATATGTTTAACCTTTCAAATTTCATCTACAACACCTTTAGCACAATTTTTTAAAACTATATCTAATAATATCTGTAACTCTTTGTAATCATTTTCTAAAAATCTTATATTATAGTTTAATTTTTAATCAAATAATAAGTATAATTTTTAATTATAATACAACAAATTATATATAAACCATCTAAGAAAAAAAAAAGAAAAGACTTGCTTAATTAATATCAAATTTATTATTTTTTTTTTTGGTATTAAGGTGAGGCCTTGCTTATATCTTT